CCAGAGGGCAGAGGACAGAGGGGCAACATGGGCTCCGCTAGTCTGTAGTCTTGATGTTCTGAAGAGTCGCCCTTACTGTTCACGCTGAGCCGCAGCTCTCGGCTTGCATACCCCACTGGGTTAGCGGCCGTGCAGATGTAGACCCCAGAGTCTTCCACGGTGGGCTTGGGAATGAGCAGCTGGCCTTCGGAGGCAGGGTCCGAGGACCTGAGCTGGACGAGAGGCTCATTTTCCTTCGCAGGACAAGAGCACAAGAAAGATCACAGCCGAGGTTCCTGTTTTTACAATTTCACACAAGCTTCTTGCGACATTCCGAATTTCACCGCCCATCAGGAGAGCTTTTTAAAGCTCTGATTTTAGAATTAAAGACGGCTCAGATTGTCTGCTAAAAAATTCAGGAATTTCAGAAGCCCCACTCCTTCGTCTCCCAATCCCTAAATGATAGGGCCAAAAAGCTCTTTCCAGCTTGCTCTTTGTGTGTTCAAAAGAAAAGAAAATTAAATGATCATTGTGGTTCTAATTGAAAATGCTGCAGCAACACTGGCTAAGTGAGCATTATGCAACTGAAATTTTGTAATTACAGCACAGTAAAAAAGACCACACAAGGCAATCTGAAGACTTAAACACTGTGCTGTTCTGACATTCCACAATGCAACCTCAACAAGGATATTAGCTTGTTTGTGAGGTACAGACCAATCTGATGACGAATGGGCCCTATTATTCAAACTCCAGCAGCCATTATTTGTAATAATTACATTCACATTCGAGGTCTTTTGTCATCTGAATCTAGACACAGGAGGGAGACAAAATCTTCATTAGAAATCGAGCCTCTGAGCTACTGCTTCAAACAGAGGCTGAGCCAACGCCAAGTTAAATTTCTTTTAGTCTCCAGTGTTCAGTCACCTCATGTCTCCCTACTAACAAGCCGGGCGGGCTCACCTTGGACCAGGTGATGGCTGGCTTGGGAACTCCAGTGGAGTTGCATGGCAGTGTGATGGCCACGCCCTCATCAGTGACGTAGTGGGCGGGGCCTGGACTGATCACAGGTGGAGCTGCACCAAGTCGGAAAGGTTAAAAGCATCAGGAACCCGTTTCTCCATACTAGCTCATCTGGTTCCTTTGAATCGCAGGGCATTCTTGAAGGAGACCAAGCAATGGGGCACAACACTACACTGGCCCTCTTAGGGTATGTTCCTCAGGTGCAGTGTTAGGTATTTCCAGATTGAGCAAGACAAAGATACTGTACATATGTATAAAACAGCGAGTTGCTGTTAAACATGCAATATTTCAAAGTTTAATTCCTGGAAATTAAGCCCTACACTGTGAATGACTCACTTGTTTCTCCTGTGTTTAGCGCTCGACTTTAAAACTTTAAATGCAACTGAAGTAGCTTTATTCTACCAATCCTTCAACATCTTTTGTCGCAATTTACAAATGCCATTTATAAATTGCTTTCTGTTATGAAATATCCTTCGCTTGGAACAGGAAACTTGAAAGTCTGCGGGATTCCGGATGAAACCCTGAGCACCAGCAGGACTCACAGTGGATTTCGATGGTAATGCTAATATTGGCCGACCCAGCCACGTTGACAGCGGTGCAAATATATATCCCAGCATCCTCCACCCCGGCATTCTCTATATGGAGGCTGCCGTCACTCCGCAGGAAACGCCTGGAGCTCAGGGTCACCTAAAGGTCGGGAGAAGAGGGTCAACCTCAATCCGGGAGCAGTCAGGTGGTCAGGTCATCAAGAGGCTGTCATGTGGAAGGAAAAGACGAGACGTGAATCTCACCGGCTCCCCGTTGTGTGCCCAGTGTCTGCTAGGCAGCGGGATTCCGTCCAGCAGCATGCAGGGAAGGGTCAGTGAGTGACCAACCACCACGGAGAGCAGCAGGTCACCCTGGGCCAAAAGAGGAGGCTCTGTAGATAAAGACAGACAGACCTTGAACACAAGGGGTGCAACGCTCATGGAGAAAGAGACAAAGGTAAAATGGGGCTTATAACTCAAGCTCAAAGCCAAAAGACCGTCCCCCTGCCATGCACAGCTATGTGTAAACACAAGTACAGAGCCACCCTGTCCCCTGTCGTCAGCACTGCAACAAGCCCCTTCGCTCACACACTGAAGCTACTGACCCAGGCCAGTCACGGTGACTCGGGCTTCGGTCCAGATCAGCCCAAACTGGTTCTGGGCTTCACAGATGTAGAGGCCTTCATCATCCAGCCAGGCACCTGCGGAGACAGAGGGAGTCCACAGCCCATCAGTTTCTGATGGCCCAGGCCTGAAAACACAGGGGC